GAGCGCTCACATTATTTTTATATTTTTTCTTTCTTAATATTAGTCGCTCATATATTTTGTGAAGCGGCCCATATATATTCTAATATTTCCATTTTATTACTGTATATTTGACCATTCCACTTATTTTTATAGTTTACATACAAACACAGATACACACACATTGACACACACCGGCACATACAAACACAGATACACACACTTTGACACACAGATACACACATCTTGACACACAGATACATACTGTGTGTCAAGGTGTGTGTATATGTGTGCCACTATGTGCCTGTGTGTATGTATCTGTGTGTAAGATACATACACACACAGATACACACTGACACACAGACACACACACACTGGCACATACAAACACAGATACACACACATTGACACACAGACACACACCAGCACCAGCACATAAAAAAAAAGGCACAACATTTTTTACTTTGGGGGGGAGGTGTATGAGTGAGACATATCTCATATCACAAAAGGAGTGGAATGGCTAAACATGGAATGTAAACTCTGATATCTACGAATAGAATATACAGAAATAAGAGGGAATAGGACCATATGTCGAAAGCTCTAAAACTGGAAAGGTATAGGGATTCACCAAAAACCTATTCAAACAATACACATAGAGTGATATACTAAAACAATAGTAGCAATTATCCAGGAGCTTACTAGAAGAACGGGTATAATACAGGACCCTAATTCTAAAATAACACACTTCAGTGATTAAAAGAGATAGAATATAAAATATACAATATGTATATAAATAACTTGGATATGTATGGCAAAGGTGTCTAAAATCCTAGAGAAAAAATACCACAGGGTGAATAATACCACTTGCCAAATATTATGACACAAAAGTTTCTTTCCAATAGTCTTTTAAAAGGTTTTTATTGCAAGAAGAGGTTTCCATTTCAAAATGAGCCTTTTAATATCAAAAGTGTTTATTGTATCAAAAGATGTGACTATATCAACTACTATTATAGTAATGTGTGTCATTCCCATCAATCAATAAATCTCTTATTATTATGCTAATCTATTCTATTTTCTATCACTGACTTTCGTTTTCAAATTTTCGTTTTTAAATAATCATTTTTAAATAACGGTTTGGAACAATCAATGTTATTTTATCCCATATGATTTTATGTATTTGATTTATTTTTTATGGACACTGATCAATTGATTAAACAACTGAGGGGTATATAAACATCCCCATATGGAGGTTTATCTACACGTCTCTGAGGAAGTAGGGCGACCCCCTACGAAACGCGTCAGACAATCTAAAGAACGTCCACACAGCAATAGCCAGCCAGGGTATTAGCAGCAGGACTTTTACATCACCTCGGATCCCAGACATCACACCAACACCATATGGCGAGCAGCGCTGATCCCCCGAAGTGAGGCACGAGGTGGAACGCACTGCGGAACGCGCGCCGTCCTTGCCGGCGTTCACTGTCTGGATGTGAGGATCACGAACAGCATCCACATCCATCCGTGCCTGGGAAGAAGGTTGTCCTGTATTTTTCACCCCTACTTGACTGGTATGAATATTGTGGACTGATTTTTAATTATATTTTTAAACATTTTTTAGAATAAACTGATTTTACACTCTCAGTTGTTTTGCAGCGATATTTCTATATTGCCTTTAGCAACCAGTTAACCAGTTGTGGATACCTTATTATGCAAGTATTTTAGTGTGCAATATTGTTGTTGGGTATCACAAGAACACTATTATTATGTTTGTATGCACACTTCTTTTACATTATTTTATTGGGCACATATCCACTTAATTGTGTTCACTATAATCACTTTTATTATATTGATTTTACATGATAAATGCTACAACAGTGTTTTAAGAATCTTTCTGCACTAACTTATCTTTTTACAAGTTGCAATCATTGGCATAGATCCATCCCCAATGGTCAGAGCTGGCACTACATGTAAATTGTATAATCAGGCTTGAACCTATACAAAACAATACATGAATCAGCTCATATTCTAGTTAAAAGCAAAGTTAGGGTGTCTGATCTGCATTCCATGAAAATACAATAAATAAAAAAGATTTCTAGCGCTTCTGACAATGTTGGTAGGCAGCTAGGACAACCCAAGCCAGGGTCTCTTTTTTCTGGTACTAGGTAAGATGCAAGATAACAAAAGGGTCGCAGCTCCTTGTGGATATCTTCTGTTCCAAATAGATTTTCCCAAATACACTTGACGTGTTTTTGAAAACAATTTAAGAAAGCCTGTGATTTGGCGAAATGCATCAAGAGTGTTTTTAAGTGTATTTTTATATTTCTATATGTAATAAAAAATTATTTTTATCTACTTTGGACCCTCCTGAGCTGCTACTACCCATTTGTGTGGAAATCTTTTTTATTTGATTTCCACACAGTTCATCTGGATCCTGGCACACCCTCTGTAAAGATTGTGCTGCACCAGTATATCCACAGGTTGGGATCATGTCAGTGTTTCTCTGCTGTTTTAAACAGCAACCTTTCCTTTCTTTGTGTCTGAGCTATTCAGCTGCTTTTTAACGATCAGCTCCTTCATTACTGTTTCCACGGTTACTCACCTGGTTGTTAGTAGCCAGACCTGTTGCTAATCAGTGCACCCTATTTAAACAGCAAGTCCAAGTACCTCTTTGCTCTTGCATGGTTTCCTGTTTCCCAGAAGACTTCCTGTTTCCTATAGAGAAAAAATAAAATAAAATAGAGACAGCGCTGATTAACTAACAGGCAGCAACCTTCAAAAAAGAGAAACCCTCCAAACCCTTTTAAAACAAGACAGGTTAAAACAACAATAAAAAAGGCTGCGCCACAGTAAAATAAATACAGTACCAAAGTGGGTAGTCACAAGAGCCGGAATCAGGAGAACAGTGAGCAGCGGAGTCAGGAACAAGGTCAGAAACCAGCAATACACAGGAAACAGGAAAGGTTAAAACAACAATAAAAAAGGCTGCGCCACAGTAAAATAAATACAATAAAAAGTCCAATATAAAAAGAAAAGTCCAACTTAAGTGTCCTTCTGGGTGGTCTTTATAACGGAAAGTGCAATAGTGGAGTCTTCATAGACTGTATTAATTCCGCTTATGTAGAAGACAAAAAAGAGAGAGAGAGGGACGACCAATGGTGCAATATTGTATAATTCCGATAGTGACATACTTAAAATTAATAGTAGAGAACTCACATTTGGTAGAGCTTATGTCCAGCTCTAGGATAAAAGCGCATACAGCGGTTTGATCCCCGCTTGTAGGATATATCGTGGGTATCTCTCCGTCTGTGGTGTCCAACTCTCAAATACGAAAAAGAAGAAGAAACAGCCGATAGTGCTCACTGTATGGTAGTCTTAATATAAATAGATAAAAACTTACTTACAAGTGAGGAGCAGACCAACTGCTCTTGTATATCAGCATAGGTGGATTGATCCCCACCTCTAGGATTTCTTTGAAATACAGGATACTTCCAGTTAAAAGTCCCAATGAGGAATATAAAAGGAATAAAATACTAATGGGTAAAATACTAAAAATTAATAATGAAATAATAGTAAAAAGCCAGGTAAGAGAATGTGTATATAAAACTATAAAAAAGAAAATTTGGAGCAAATAAATGACCAAAAATTACTTTTAATATTAAAATACACAATATAACATATCCATAACGCGTTTTGTCAACAGACTTTATCAAAATGGAATAGCATACAATACCTGGCTTAGTTTGTATTATATAGGAGTGTGGGTGATTCAAATTTGGCGCCAAAATTGATCCGTCCAATCAGAATTCAAATTTTTATGGCGATATTAAAACACATAAAAAACACATGTAAAACAAACTGTATGTTATATAGACATGGATGAAATACATGAATAGTAAAAACGAGGGTTAAAAATACTTAAAATAAGCGTTTTAAAATGATCACGTGACGCGCTGCACTTCCGGTTTTCGGACGCATTGCCGCAAAGCCTCATGGGAGGTTTAGTTTAACGGCCGCAAATGCCGGCCATAGGAATAACTAACAGCCATCTTGGAGAGGGCAGGGAGTCCTGTCAATGGTGGCCATTATAAAAGGGGCACTATAGGTTAAAGAAACATAATATTATCAAAATAATGGTCATATACATATGTATATTAAGATAATAGGATATTTGGAATATGGGAGGGGTAAAAACAATATGTTAAAGTGATATGCCATTAAAAAAAAAAAAAAAGGGGGATAAGAACTATAAACAACAAGACAAAAGGCAAGTTTGTAAACAGACATATTAGTTATACAAAATTGACATATTGGTTATAAAAAATTATGAAGATCAAAATCTGCATTGAGACCATGGGGTATAAGAGTCTTAAGATTATACACCCATTCCATTTCTATCTTTCCAAGTAATTTTTTTATGTCTCCTCCACGCCATGGGGTAGAACATTTTTTTATGCCCATACATTTTAGTAATTTTGGGTCTTTGTTGTGCTTAATAAAATGTTTGGATACTGTATGGTTTTCGTATCCATTTTTAATATTTCTGCAATGTTCGCTCAATCTAATTTTTAGGCACCTTGTGGTCATCCCCACATATTGGAGACCACATGGGCATTCGAGCAGATAAATAACATTTTTTGTGTTTCAGCTGATAAAATCATAAATATTGTACACTTTATTGGTCCTATTAGACATAAACTGAGTAACCTTAGATGGAGTGGACGGATCTGTAGTTTTACACACTATACATTGTTTACATTTGTAAAAGCCCTTTGTCTGAGGGAAAAAAGAGAAATTATTAACGGGGGATGCACGGGTAAAATTAGTAGTTAAAATAGATTTAAAATTAGGGGCACCTCTAAAAACAATATTTGGGAATCCGAAGCTGTCTGGGGCAATCATGTCTGGCGGGCAAACCTGGTCTCATATTTTAGATATATAGATGATTTGTTTTTTATTTAGGAAGGACCAGAAGATACTCTTATTGCTTTTATTAACGATCTTAATGTTAACAATAGGGGTATTAGCCTCACACATGAATTTAGTAAAGAATCTATAAACTTTTTAGATCTTAACATTTTTATTAAGGAAGGACAACTCCACACAAAAACGTTTTTTAAAAAGGTATGTGTTAATACGGCTATTGACAAAACCAGTTGCCACTATAAGCCCTGGCTTGAGAGTGCCCCCAAAAGCCAATTCCTACATCTTCGTAGGAATTGTTCAGAAATAACAGATTTTAATGAACAAGCTAATATTTTAAAAAATGTATTTATGGAAAAGAGGTACTTAGAGTCAGATCTTAATAATACAATTAATACAGTCAAACAAAAAGAACGTAAAGATCTTCTGGTTTACAAAAATAAAGAAAAAGATGAAGCTACATCCCTTCCTGTTATTTTTAATTTTAATAATAAAAGTAACAAAGTTAAAAAAATAATAAAAAATCACTGGCACATACTTAAAGAAGATGATGTTCTTAATCCAATTCTGCCAAATCAGCCAAATATTGTTTTTAGAGGTGCCCCTAATTTTAAATCTATTTTAACTACTAATTTTACCCGTGAATCCCCCGTTAATAATTTCTCTTTTTTTCCCTCAGACAAAGGGCTTTTACAAATATAAACTGGGAATCCGAAGCTGTCTGGGGCAATCATGTCTGGCGAGCAAACCTGGCTTTTACAAATGTAAACAATGTATAGTGTGTAAAACTACAGATCCATCCACTCCATCTAAGGTTACTCAGTTTATGTCTAATAGGACCAATAAAGTGTACAATATTTATGATTTTATCAGCTGCAACACAAAAAATGTTATTTATCTGCTCGAATGCCCATGTGGTCTCCAATATGTGGGGATGACCACAAGGTGCCTAAAAATTAGATTGAGCGAACATTGCAGAAATATAAAAAATGGATACGAAAACCATACAGTATCCAAACATTTTATTAAGCACAACAAAGACCCAAAATTACTAAAATGTATGGGCATAAAAAAATGTTCTACCCCCTGGCGTGGAGGAGACATAAAAAAATTACTTGGAAAAATAGAAATGGAATGGGTGTATAATCTTAAGACTCTTATACCCCATGGTCTCAATGCAGATTTTGATCTTCATAATTTTTTATAACCAATATGTCAATTTTGTATAACTAATATGTCTGTTTACAAACTTGCCTTTTATCTTGTTGTTTATAGTTCTTATCCCCCCCCCCTTTTTTTTTTAATGGCATATCACTTTAACATATTGTTTTTACCCCTCCCATATTCCAAATATCCTATTATCTTAATATACATATGTATATGACCATTATTTTGATAATATTATGTTTCTTTAACCTATAGTGCCCCTCTTATAATGGCCACCATTGACAGGACTCCCTGCCCCCTCCAAGATGGCTGTTAGTTATTCCTATGGCCGGCATTTGCGGCCGTTAAACTAAATCTCCCATGAGGCTTTGCGGCAATGCGTCCGAAAACCGGAAGTGCAGCGCGTCACGTGATCATTTTAAAACGCTTATTTTAAGTATTTTTAACCCTCGTTTTTACTATTCATGTATTTCATCCATGTCTATATAACATACAGTTTGTTTTACATGTGTTTTTTATGTGTTTTAATATCGCCATAAAAATTTTAATTCTGATTGGACGGATCAATTTTGGCGCCAAATTTGAATCACCCACACTCCTATATAATACAAACTAAGCCAGGTATTGTATGCTATTCCATTTTGATAAAGTCTGTTGACGAAACGCGTTATGGATATGTTATATTGTGTATTTTAATATTAAAAGTAATTTTTGGTCATTTATTTGCTCCAAATTTTCTTTTTTATAGTTTTATATACACATTCTCTTACCTGGCTTTTTACTATTATTTCATTATTAATTTTTAGTATTTTACCCATTAGTATTTTATTCCTTTTATATTCCTCATTGGGACTTTTAACTGGAAGTATCCTGTATTTCAAAGAAATCCTAGAGGTGGGGATCAATCCACCTATGCTGATATACAAGAGCAGTCGGTCTGCTCCACACTTGTAAGTACGTTTTTATCTATTTATATTAAGACTACCATACAGTGAGCACTATCGGCTGTTTCTTCTTCTTTTTCGTATTTGAGAGTTGGACACCACAGACGGAGAGATACCCACGATATATCCTACAAGCCGGGATCAAACCGATGTATGCGCTTTTATCCTAGAGCTGGACATAAGCTCTACCAAATGTGAGTTCTCTACTATTAATTTTAAGTACGTCACTATCGGAATTATACAATATTGCACCATTGGTCGTCCCTCTCTCTCTCTTTTTTGTCTTCTACATAAGCGGAATTAATACAGTCTATGAAGACTCCACTATTGCACTTTCCGTTATAAAGACCACCCAGAAGGACACTTAAGTTGGACTTTTCTTTTTATATTGGACTTTTTATTGTATTTATTTTACTGTGGCGCAGCCTTTTTCATTGTTGTTTTAACCTTTCCTGTTTCCTGTGTATTCCTGGTTTCTGACCTTGTTCCTGACTCCGCTGCTCACTGTTCTCCTGATTCCAGCTCGTGTGACTACCCACTTTGGTGCCTGACCCCTGCTTGCCTCCTGGACTTTGCTTTTGTTTTTTTTCATTTTTTGCTATTTTTCAATAAAGGTGTTTTGCATTTACATTCTGTCTCTGTCTGGTTCCTGGTCCCTAGCAGATCATACTGCCCAAGCACTCCTATTTGGAGCTGATTAGAAGCTCCATAAAAACTGTAAGTGCATTTCAATATTTTCCGAATATATATACAGAATATAAAAACGTATTACACTATATTGTCTCCTGTCCTCTTATCTTTTTTATTTTTGTTGTGCAGAATATCAATACATACAAGCTCGGGCTGCCCCAACAGCAATCCTCAAGCATATTTTAGTGCATAACAGTAGGAGCCCTAGAGAAAACATGCACATTTTTAAGTATAATATAGTAACAGATGCAGGCTATGCTTCCAAGCCTAGTCACAAGGTAGAGGCCGCACTATAGTGTCATGCTAACGAAATTGTTAAAGAGCAAGAAAAGTGGAGTGTTTTGGGGAAGCTATAGTTCGGAAATGCTAAAACAGAGGTGTATGTGCGCCACTGGCTGGTGCCGGGTGAGGCGTATTAGGCCCCAAACCCCTAGTCACCCCCCTCCCAAAAAAAACTAACCCCTACCTACCCCCCTCACGCTATAAATAATGAGAGGGGGGCATTAACTAAGTGTGACGGGTGTGTTAAATGACAAAGAATATAATTTTTTAAAAATTGAATTCCCTAGGACACCAGTCTTTTACACTTTACCAAAAGTGCATAAAAGTATGACACAACCCCCAGGTAGGCCAATTGTTTCCGGCATTGGTTCAATATCAGCTAATCTCTCTAAGTACGTGGATATCTGGTTGCAAGATTTGGTCAAGGAAATGCCTTCATATTTGAAGGATACTACAGATGTTATTAAAATTATTAAGAATGTAAGTTGGAAAGAGGGTTATTTTCTGGTGACCTCAGATGTGTCAGCATTATACACATCAATTCCACATGACTTAGGTTGTAATACAATTCAGGAATGTCTGATAAAGTCAGGAAAATTCTCAGAAGAGCATGTTACATTTTTAATAGAGAGTATAAGATGGATTTTAAATAATAATTATTTTATTTTCAATTCTAGATTCTATTTACAGCGTCAGGGCACAGCGATGGGGACCAGGTTCGCCCCTAGCTATGCAAACTTATTTATGCTCGGCTGGGAAAATGATGTTATTTTTAATAACACGGCATGGGGAGCGGACCTAGTCACATACCATAGGTATATAGATGACCTATTCTTAAGTGATCTGGAAATTTTTTTAACCAGTATTAATAATAGTAACTGGGGTATTGAACTAAACAGTCAATTTAGTACTAAAAGCATTAACTTTTTAGATTTGGAGATTTATACAGAAGGGGATACTCTTAAAACAAAAAATTTCTTTAAAAAAGTGGACGCCAATAGTTATGTTTTATATAATAGCGGACACTATACGCCTTGGTTGAATAATATACCAAAAGGACAATTACAAAGGATTCTGAGAAATTGTACTGACAATGATATTTTTAAAGAACAAGCTAAGACAGTTTTAGACAAGTTTGTACAAAAGAAATATCCCGAAGCATTACTTGAAAAAGCATTTGATGAAACTAATATATTAAGTCAACAGGAATTAATTTCCAAATCTAATACTATTAAAAGATCTGATAATCCTGATTTAATACCCTTAGTCCTAGATTTTAATAGTGATAACAAAAAAGTTAAAACTATTATAAATAGACACTGGCACCTTCTCAAAAAAGATAAAGAGCTATCAAAAGTGATCCCTGAGAAACCCTTTATCACCTTTAGAGGAGCACCAAGTTTTAAACAAATGTTAACTTTTAATCACCCTAAAGTGGAAGCAGTTACTACTTTTTAAAAAAATAATAAAAATGGTTTTTATTCATGTGGTAAATGTGTTGGTTGCAAATGCAGTAAGAATAGAACTATTAAAGGTATTAGTAAATTTAAAACAAAGTATAAAGAGGAAGATTTCCAAAGTAATGATTTTATAACTTGTTTTAGTAAAAATCTTATTTATCTTTTAATTTGTCCGTGCGGATTGCAATATGTTGGCCGGACTATTCGTCCTCTACACAAAAGAGTGTATGAACATATTAATAATATTAAAAAGGGTTTTGAACAGCATAGTGTTTCGGCTCATTTTAAGAGATATCATAAATCTGATCCAAGTGGTTTAACTTTTTTAGGGATTCAGATAGTGAAAAAATCTTGGAGAGGAGGCAACTATATTCTAGATATTGGGAAGGAAGAAATGAAATGGGTACATAAATTAGGTTCCCTAGAGCCCAATGGACTTAATATAGCATTTGATTTATATAATTTTTTATGATTAGATTTTTTTTTTTTCTCTCTCTGTTTCACATTTTTTTTAAATAAAATGTTTCCATGAATTTTGGGATTATTTAGATTTATCTATTATTGGTCCATATAATTATATGTCTGTTATGAATTTTCATATGAAGTAATTTCTATATCTCTTTTTTTTTCCCATGTAGTAGGATATTGATTTATATATGTGTATTATATCTAATCAATTTCTTTTAATGGTATTATTAGTATTATATATGTAATTTTTTAGATAATGGACATTTTTATAAGAGACATTTAGGCAATATGCCTTAGAGTCCAT